GTCGCTCTTGAGAAAGCATTCATTGTACGGATTGGCACATCATCGCATGAAGCTCTGAGCTGTGAGCGTAGTTCATTAGTATAGCCCCACATGAGACTAACTAACGGAGCATTAGCGTGTAGCTAATATCACAGCCTGCCATCACAGGTGTGTTACTCTACACCCTTTACCTTTAGAATTGTTTCGTTTTTGTTGGACTTTATTGAATCCTTCAGCTGACGTTTCTCCCCTTTCTGTGACATTGCAACTCTTGGGCTCACCGGGTGAAATTGGGCCTTTAGAAGTAGCCGTGTATTTACCCAGTTACAAGCAGAATATAATTACTTCCATCTCCATGACAGGGGAAAAACACGCATAAAACAAGTGCCCCCAAGAACTGATACAGATCAAAACCCTTTAAATAAAAACGTGAGTAATCACTTTCACATAGACTCTCCATTTAAGAGTTAATCAGTGTACTACACATTCATCTGGGTTTTACAACTAAGATAACAAGGATTACAGAACATAGTTTGTACCATATAAACCGAAACAGATGTAACGGTTTGCACAATAATTCATATTTGTCCATAATTTTAATTACTGCGTTTTAATCGGTGAGAAAATTTTCAACTGAAGCTAACCCCAAACAAATGTTGATATCTTCAAAACTGTAATAAAATAAAACAGAATGTAAAAATATATAAAAATAGTAACAACATGGAAGCAATTTGAGTTAATCAGGCCTATATTTACTGTCTAATAATTGGTTAGCTTTGAATTGTTAATGATGTTTATTCTTTTTTTATTTCCTTTTTACTTTTCTAAAGGAAGATCAGGTCTTCACAGGATAAATCTATGGCATTAATGAGGTAATCAGTATGAGGTCTATGCTGAAATGCATGCACAGATTGGCTTGGATGCATTAAGAGGGACATCATCTTTCTAACTGGTTTCACATTTTTTTTGCTTTATATTGAACATTGACCACATACACAAAAGCTAACAATATACCTTTTATTTTAAATATTAAAATAAAAATTAAATATTAAAATGGATATTCATCAGACACATTGTAAGTCTACCTTGTTAAAGTTTTTATATTCATTAACAAAAATTCCATTTATGCATTCTCTGTACCTGCTTGTCATGTGCATGTTTGTGGTTTAATATTATAAAATATATTTTTATAAAGCTCTCTTTTGGTCTGGATTCCTTTTGTATAAGCACTGATATGCTCTAGCGCCTATTTACATCGTTGCACAATATGATGAAAATCCTAGGCCTTCTTGCAATGCCACATTTCAAGTTTAAGCTGACAGACCAAAAGTAAAATAGTTTTACCATCATGGGTCTGTATCAAAAGCTGGATTTCGTGCTTAGCTGGATAACTTTTCAGATTTAAGGTACCCCAGTTTAAACGGATTTTATCTTTCTTCACTTACATTCAGCCCAGACTACCTTAAAACTGATGGTAAGTAGGGAGGAATACAGCCAGCATTTTGGGAAGTGGTGTGCGGAGGCCCTGTCCTGAATATGACCACCAGAGCTTCTGCACGGCAGTCTAGTAGAATGAAAGATAAAAGGTCTAAGAACGATACCAGGGGCATGGGAAAAGCCGAGGGGAGATTAAGCGGCTGTCGGAAACGGCCAGGCCCTCTTAGGTAACAATTACTACTGTGGAAATCTATTCCCTTTAAAGATCTGCCAAGACTTACGCATTCCATTAGATAGAGGAAAGACGTTTGTTTGCCTATGATTAATTACCGTTCCTCTACAAATGCGCAGGCCGAGTAATGGCAGCGCGGCCCTGGGACATCCATCCATCTTATGCCCCGCTTACCCTGGTTTGGGTTGCGGGGGAACCTGAAGGCCGTTCCAGGCAGCATGGGGCACGTACCGGGGGTTCACCCTGGACGGGATGCCACTCGCCTGCGAAAAATATACATGCAGTCGCCGGGTCGCCACGGTCCGACTTACGAACAACTCGTACTTACGAACACACTGCCATGAAGGCTATAATATAAAAAATTTGGCTTAAATGCAATGATTCGTAATAACAAACTACTACTGTGTGACGCTCAAGAAAACATTGCCTGGGTTTAGCGGTTCATCAGCATGAGATACAATAGTTATCTGGAGCCTATAATTTGCAAATGATGGGTGATCAGGACTGCTTTCTGACTCGAATCAGTAACTCTTGTTCTTTTTATTTTCCTTACAAAGCTAAAGAATATATTTAGTTTCTACCTATACAGTATATATTTAAAATGGACCATTCAAGGTTTCTGGGAGTGTTTTTATATGTATCTACGACAAGAACTTGCAGAGTTTTTTATACGATTTGGTGAGATTTTTGTTTTATACCGTGGATATTCCAGTTATTAGATAGAGAATCTTTGAGATGTTCAGACCCTGAAGGGTACCACAGGTGAGGTCCTGTCAAGGTGGAGCTGTGTTATTCCTGTGGATTGTGTCACATGCGGAGTGAGATCGTGCACCACACAGCTGTTTCAGTCCGGAGTTTTCCTGCTTCCGAATCGACGGCACACATCAGCACAATCTGGCCATACGGGAAGCATCAGCCAATCATGGGTCTCCCGTGTCGTTGGGAGGCCAGCCCAAGTATTGGTGTGCATCAGAACGCTAAACCAAAACTACTAACTCATTTACTACGATTTGTACTGTGGCTTTAAGGTTCTTGGTGGGATGTAATCATGCTGTTGGTATTGTCTGACCTCTTTTGAAAGGAACCACAGCTTTCCCCCCCCCCACCAACCATTATGACAGAATAAAGCATTTTTGCCAGATGAACCGTAACCATTCTCCTTGCCAGAGGAGCATCAGCCGGAAGCTCTTCACACATGTCACAAAAAAAGTTCTTTCTTTGATAAACCACAACTGTTAAGATAAAAATATTATTTATTCTTGAAAGTTTTTGGATCTGAACACTGCAGAAGAATAACAGGGCAGAATGCATGTTAAATGATAAGATTTCCTAATTCCCAAAATTCTATATGCAAAAAGAGAACTTACTTCAATTTTTTTTTAATTGTATAAATGTTTCCAAAACATCATTTGTCAACAAGGGAGTAAATAATATCAGTGCTGAATGCTGAAAGGCAGACTAAGATTCACTGTGAAGTTTCACTGTACAATCCCAGGGACAGTAAAACCACTTATGAAAAGAAATGTTTACACACAATGACAAGTCTCCCCCCGGAGAGGTACATTAGGCTGTAGCAGGGAAATATTTCTGTTTTAATCATCAAGGCATAAATGAAACTGCTAAAGTGACTTATGAGACCTTAATATAAAACAGAAAACAGAACAGAACCTTTTGAAACACAGTTTTCTTTTAATGATCAAAAAAGAAGGGAAATCGTATATTTTACTTGAATGGTCCAAGTCACAAAACGCAGTGCCAGGGCCTTCGTTTGGTATCCTGCAATGCCACATGTAAGGTTTGGATGGGCTCGGAACCTCACACAAAATAACGCAGTGAAAATGCAACATGTGTTGCGGAACTGTACGTGGAAAGGAACTTGGCACACGTTTAGGTCTCTGGGCTGAAGATATTTTTCAAAGTTCGTGTTGGACACAAAAACATCCACCTTTCTTCAGCTTGAAATGCACCTTCACTTCACTTCAGACTTCAGACCATCAGGGAGGGTCAGCGCCCGTCAGGGAGGGCCAGCGCCCGTCAGTGAGGGCCAGCGCCCGTCAGTGAGGGCCAGCGCCCGTCAGGGAGGGCCAGGGTCCGTCAGGGAGGGCCAGCGTCCGTCAGTGAGGGCCAGCGCCCGTCAGGGAGGGCCAGCGTCCGTCAGTGAGGGCCAGCGCCCGTCAGGG